CAGAGGACTTGATGGCAGAGTTGCAGTGGGCTTTGAACTACCTTAGGATCCAGAGAGAATGAGAGGAACACAAGGCCCAGGGCTTAGGTGACATATCTGAGAGCACACAATAAGGATTTAACCATTTTGTCATGGATCTGGTGACTAGTAACAATCCAATCATACTGTTGAGTTGATGTGCCTTCTCTCTGCCAAAGGGTTGGGACTGAGGAGAACTGAGGGGTGCTTTCTCTGGCTTAGTCTCTCTGCTGTGTACACATATGGTTTTACACTTCTATAGCCATAAGGAAAGAATAACTTGGAATGAGGGTAGGAGTATAGTCAGGCCCAGGGAACTAAGCCAGGTGGAGGAGATTGGAAGAGAAATTGATTCCACCTCCACATCACTTCCAAGAGCTGGGTTATCCTTGAATTCCAGGTTCCTGGGATCCTGGAATCCTTTCTCCCTGCACTGTACAGATGAAAAAACTGAAACCCAGAGAAGAGCAGTGATCTGTGAATCCTAAAAAAATGAGCCCTCTGTGAATCCTAAAAAATCAGCCCGGCACCATGTATGCCTGTAATCCCAGCGACTCAGTAGGCTGAGGCAGGAGGATCACAAGTTTGAGACCAACCTTAGCAAGGCCCTGAGCAACTTAGTGAGACCTGCCTCAAAACAAAAAATTAAAAGGGTTGTAGCTCAGTGGTAGAGTGCTTGCCTAGCCTATTTGAGGCATGGGGTTCAATCCTCAGCACCACATAAAAATAAATAAATAAAATAAAGATATTGTGACCATCTACAATAAAAATATATTTTTTAAAAAAGGACTGGAGTGTGGCTTAGTGGCTAAGCATACCTGGGTTCAATCACTGGTACCAAAAAAAAAAAAAATCAAATAGGCAGTAAATCCCCTGGGTCCCTCTTCTCCTCTACCCTGGGAGGTGAACATCTGAAGCTTCAGGTCCTTAATCCCTTTCCTGTAAAAAACGTTCCCTTCTCTTCAACCTGCCTGGTCCCCAAGAAGCTTGGCTCAGGCCTTTGCTCCCTCTAAGGCTCCTCAATGGCCTCATATTTGTTGAATTCTCTCCTTTGGTCTACCTTGTGAACCCAACAACAACAACAAAGAGCAAATATTATCAGCAAGTTTATCTGAATTGAAACTCATGGCTTCAACATCTTTTCATAATGATGATGCTCTATGATTTTTTTCAAAGGCTCTCTTGAAAGGATCTGAATGCCTCTGTATGGACTCCCATCTCCCATTGCCCCTTCCTCTCTTTCTAGCCCTACTTTCTGTACCAGGGAGGCAAAGCATGTTCAACCACAGTCAGGTTTTGTTTTATTGTGTTGTGTTTTTGTACCAGGGATTGAACCCAGGGGCACTTAACCACTGAGCCACATTTCCAGGCCTTTTTTTTTCCATATATATATAGTTGTTGATAGACCTTTATTTTATTCATTTACATGCGGTGCTGAGAAATGAACCCAGTGCCTCACTCAAGTCAGGCACATGCGCTACCACTGAGCCCCAGCCCCAGTCCCTTTTTCTTTAATTTTTTTTAGTTGTAGATTTATTTATAAATAAATAAATAAATACCCTTATTTATTTATTTAATGTGGTGGTGCTGAGGATTAAACCTAGTGCCTCACACATGCTCAGCAAGTGCTCTACCACTGAGCCACAATCGCAGCCCAGCCCTTTTTATTTTTTACTTTGAGACAGGGTCTCGATAAGTTGCTTAAGACCTCACTAAATTGCTGAAGCTGCATTTGAATTTGCAATCCTCCTGCCTCAGCCTCCTGAGTTGGGATTACAGGTATGCACCACCATGCCCGGCCAGATTCCAAGCTTGAAGTCTGATTCTTACCAGGTGTTGAGCTTTGGGCATGTTGCTTTACTTCTCTGGTCCTCTAGCTCTTCATCTAAATATTTTTCTTACAATGTCAGGATAGGAACTAAATTGCATTATATTATTATTAGAGGAGTATGGAGAGAGAAGGGAAGGGCACAGGAGGAAGGTAGGGGCTATTAAAATGATAATCTTGAGATGTTCAGAATAAGCAGAGGGTGAAACCAGAACTGTGTGTGTATGTGTGTGTGTTGTTGGGGATTGAACCCAGGGCCTTGTGCATGTGAGGCAAACACTCTACTGAGCTATACCCCCGGCCCCAGAATTTTTTTTTAAATCCTTTCCTTCTAGAATTAATTTTTTTTTTTGGGTCAGCACAATTTGTTGTTTTGGATAACATTAAATCTATGCTGGGTCCTGGCAGGATAAATGCCAACATCGCCAACAGGGTTTCCAGGACCCTCAAGTGCCTTAGTGTGTAAAGCAGAGGAGATGTTACTTGATATACTTTGAAGCTAAAGTTGCTTTCAAGTTTGTTAAATTCGAATTCTGTTATTTCTTTTTTCTTTGGCACTGGGTATTGAACTCAGGGCACTTAACCACTGAGGCACATCCCCAGCCCTCTTTATTTTTTTATTTTGAGACAGGATCTCACAAGGGTTGGGGCCTCTCTAAGTTGCTGAGAAAGGTCTGGAACTTGTAATCCTCCTGCCTCAGCCTCCTGAGTTGCTGTGATTATAGCCGTACATCACAGCACTTGGTCAGTTCTATTATTTGTTGAGAAAGTTTTTAAAAGCATGAGATAAATAGTGCTTGTTACCTCATAGTTTCAGGAATGTGGATTTCCAGAAAAGACCATGAGAATGACCTCATTACTGAATCAGGGAAAAGTTGAATTCTCTCCTTTGGTCTACCTTGTGAACCCAACAGCAACAACAAAGAGCAAATATTATCAGCAAGTTTATCTGAATTGAAGCTCATGGCTTCAACATTTTTTCATAATGATGATGATCTATGATTTTTTTTCAAAGAAGGTACTAGCTCAAGCAGGAATTTTCTTTGAATGTATGAGAACTTATTATGTGCTGAACCTGTTCCAAATAGCCTCACAACCAAATTCTGATATAGGAATATATCAGAACAACTTGGTTAAGCAAGTTGGTTTATCACTTTTTACAGGGGTTGGGGTTGGTGGTATAGCAGGAACCATGAAAAACAATGAGGCATCTTAGTACCAGTATTAGAAAGGAGGGAGCTGGGGATATAGCTCAGTTGGTAGAGCACTTACCTCACATGCACAAGGCCCTGGGTTCAATCCCCAGCACAACAACAACAAAAAGAACATAGAGGATTTGGGCTTGTGTCAGGTGATTTTAGGGAGGGTTTAAGGAAGAGGAGCTTTAATCTGAATTGCAATGCTGTCTATGAATGTATACCGTGGTAAATTTTAGATGGAGATTATAAAGCTATAATCTCTATTGGAGTGAGGATAAGGAAATATTTTATCATTTTTATGGTTTGAACAATGCTTATGACTTGTCTGGGGTCAAACAAGATTAAGGAGGGGATCTTGTTGTTGTCTTGATTCATCATGGTCATATAACACCTTTGTTTGATGTTGAAATTTTTATATCAACAGGAGAAGGCAAAGGTCTACCTGTAATGCCAGGCCAGCTCCTGGATATCAGGGGGCTGCTATTCTTTTTCTTAGATCCTAGACTCTTCCAGATTTGTGTGACTGTAAAATACCCCCATGCATTTCCTGGTTACAGCTAAGAGCTTAATCTATGAGTTTATACCATTTATTACATTAATTCCCTTCTCATGCCCAAACCCTAAGTCTCTGAGATAATTATTGACCCTTAATAAATATTTGTCGAATGAATGAAACAACAAAGAATGCTGCTAAGGACAACTGCCTGGATGCAAACTGCAGCTCAGGGAAAGGCTATCAATGTGTGATTTGAGGCCTGGAATGATGGCATGCTCCTGTAATCCCAGTTACCAGGGAGGCTGAAGCAGGAAGATCACAAATCTGAGGCTTGCCTGAGCAATTTAGTGAGACCCTGCCGCAAACAAATTAAAAAGGGTTGGTGATATAATCCTTTGGTAGAGTGCGTGCCTAGCATCCAAAGCCCTGGGTTCAATATCTAGTATCACAAAGCCACACATAAGAAGTATGTGATTTGACACAATATGTACTGGCAGCTAATCCACAATTCATACATGAATTTTACTACTTGTGTCAATATTGTCCATTATAGTTATTTGACCACATCACCTTAGTCCAGCCCAGGCACACAATTTTGTTGTTGTGCTCTTTAGTCTTCTTTAAACTGAAAAAAGAAACAGTTCCCCAGCTGTTCTCCACCCTGACAGTTATTTTATAGTTGATAGTAGTCCCTCAGTTTGGATTTGGAGATTTGAACCACACCCTTTTTTTCTTTTTTGGTTCCTGGAGATGGAATCTAGGACCTCACAAATGCTAGACACGTTCTACCCCACTGAACTACACCTCCATCCCCAGGGCCATGCACTTGTAAAAGAAAGACCACGGAAGAGATGTCCTTCTCAGGGCATCTTATGAGGAGGCATAAGATCTCTACTTGACCCCTTACTTTGACAATACTTTTGATCACTTTGATTTATTTTTTATGCTAGATACATTCCTGTAACACCATTAGTTTTCTTTTATAATCAATAAGTAATTTGTGGGAGACATTGTATTACGCAAACATCTAATTTATCATTCAATTGTGATTTTCTAATAATGTCTATTAGATGGCATTCTCCTAATGGAAAGGTTTATTTTTTCCCATTTATTCATTTCTGTGTGTCGTAAAAACTTACGGATTACAATTTTATTCAATTAGTTATACTCTATTAATATCACTGTGTATTTTGATCCTAAAATTGCCCTGAATTGACGCTAGTAGCTCTTATCATGTTTACATTCTGCTGCAACAAGATATCCCAAGCTTATCTGGTACTTCCGGAATCACCTTTTATTCAAGGAGAGACTTCTTGTCCTACCTTGCGTTCTTCCGCGACCTGCCGGCAGGCGGAACCTTAGAGCTCTGGACGTATCTTTTCCGGTTGCAGCCGGAAGTTCCTCTGAGAGGGGAGGCTCTGGGTCAGGTGACGAGAATTCGCGTAGGAGGGGTCGGAGTTCTAGTCTTGTAGACTGACGAGGCAGTGGGACTCTCGTCCGGGACGTACCCGTAGGCTGGGGCGGCCTCTGCGGCGTTAGCTGCGCGGAGGCAGGTACGTGAAGGGCTGGGGAGGAGACAAGGGAGGTGGGGACCGGGAATCCGGTTCGGTATTTTCGGGGCTCACGTACTGAGACACCTGAGCCCAGGGCCTCAGAGACAAACCTGGCCCTGCCCGGAGCCCTCGGTCCCCAGAAGAACAGTCAGGATGGCGTTGTGGTCTTTCGTCCCATGAGTATAGATTAGGGAAATCGAGGCCTTGAGAAAGGAAAGGGCTCCCCAGAGCTCCGTTTCAGGCAAGGGCTTACCCTGATTTCGTTCCTTTCTCCTGGACGGAACCGCCTCTCTCATATGGTGGTGCATTTAACGAGTTTACCTCGAATAGAGAGACCGAGAGGCGCGGAATGTGTTGAACAGATTTATGGTGAGAGTTAAAAGACCTGGGTTCGAGACTTCGCCACCGACCGCAAATTGTGCTTTCCAGGCCAGATCCTTTTTCTGTGCTGAGCCTAGTTTCCTCACTTGTAAAGCGGGGCAGTGCTTCTCAAAATGTTTTTCACACCATCTACTTTGAAATCTCCTGGTTTGCCGGCATTGAAGTGCTGGGCTAAAATCAAACAACTAGTGTGGAATCTGCGTTTAGGACCTAGGAAACCGTGATTTGAGTATTCGCCTTGGAATACTCAAATAATTTTACTTTGAATCTTTCTAATGTTTGAAGCCCAATGATCTTAAGTGCTTTCTGCTATGGATACCAGATATCTTTTCTTCGCTTTGAGGCAGTTTGGGCCAGTTCAGGAACTGAAAAAACTGTAATAGTTAGGCTAGAAAAAAAGAACACTGAAAGGAAAATAACATTTTTAAAACTAAAGGTAAGAAAAAAAAAAGTTATGGAGAAGAGAGCTTCCACTGCATCTTTGGGGTGGAAAGAAGTAGAGCTAGGCTTAATAGGTGGATTCTACAGGAGGACAAGATTTTTGCTTACTAGAAGAACTTAATGGAAAAATCATCAGCGGTGACTAGCGATAGGATGGATTGTTTCCTTGTGGAAGGAGGAATGCAAGTATTAGATGAAGGTCTTTCCCAACTCCAAAGTCTCTGCTTCTAAGTAATTTTACTTTGAATCTTTCTGGTGCTGACTCTGCCCTCGGAGAAAATATGAGATTTCTTTTTCCAACTTTCTTTTCTTGACACCTTCATTCCCCCTAGCCTACATCTAGCACCTGATCTATGAAATATCTTCCTGGTTGTGCACCATCCTTTTCAAGGACTTTGGAATGCCCCAACATCTGATAGAGGTGCTTGAACTGTTTATGAATAACAAAACAGAATGTCATCCATTGGTTAATAGCTTATTTTCTAAGAACAAATTGGAAATGCCTCTGAAGACTTTGTGACCAGAAGAAACCAGTGAACTCTGTATCACAGAATGAAGGGCCTCTTGAATTTGTAGTCCAACCTTCTTTCTGGGACATACATCCCTCTTTAATCCTTTCTTTCTCCAACAGTGTGTATGCAGATGTGAGAGAATTGTTTTTTTAACTCTGTAGGCTAGCTTTCCATACAGCAAATAAAACCCATTCTATGATGGATTAATTTGCCAGTTCATCCTGATTTGTGTGTAATCTACAGATGATGCTTTAGCATGTGTTTAGTTTTCTCATCAAACATCACATTTCCTTATTTTGTGCTTTACCAAACTCCCAAGTAGATCACTTTTACAACACCTGTTAGAATATTTAAGATTATGTTGTCTTATGGAGCAGAAGTTCAAAATTATCACTCAATTCTGCAGACCCCTCTCCTCCAAAAAAAGGTTGGTTTAGCCAAAACTTTATGCCTGTTTTTTTACTTTGTGTTTCTCAAGGGGGAAAAAAAAGTTGTGAAATGCTTACTCAGGTGTTATCAGGGTGCTGGGTAAAATGTTCTTAATTTGTTTGTTTTTTTTTTGTTTTTTGGGTTTTTTTTTTGAATTTTTTAATATTTATTTTTCAGTTCTCGGCAGACACAACATCTTTCTTTGTATGTGGCGCTGAGGATCGAACCCGGGCCACACGCATGCCAGGCAAGTGCGCTACTGCTTGAGCCACATCCCCAGCCCCTGTTCTTAATTTGTTGGGGTTTTTAAAACTTATCAATACAGGAGTTCCAGGTATTAATGAAATACGTGAATCAGTGCTTTAATAAGGCCACTGGTCTGAAGAGATGCCTCTGAAAAAAAGGGTTTGATGGTAAAAATAAGTTTGGGAAAAGCTGCATACTATTCTTAGAACTTCTCAGTGTATAGTACCACATTAAAGGTATTGAGAAGTCTGCAATAAAGGAATGGGCTATATAAGCTCCAACAGGGTAATGCACACCTATAATCCCCAACTACTTGGGAGGCTGAAGCAGGAGAATCTCAAAGTTTGAGGCCAATCTCATAACTTAGTGAGACCTTGTCTCCAAAAATAAATACATAAATAAATAAATAAATAAGAAGGGCTAGGGGTGTAGCTCAATGGTAAACCACCCCTGGGTTCAATCCCCAGTATCACAAAAAAGGGTGCTTTATAAACTAGGCTAATAACTTGTTTTACGTGTTTAATTTAGTGTTGCCAAGTATATTTGATATGAATTTTTTTTTTTACACTAAGACTTAGGTGATTTATTAAGTTTGTTAAGAACTCTGATACAAAGCACAGTAAAAGGCCACAGACCAGTAAATAAAGAATGTGGCTTTTGGCTACTTTACAACCACTGCTACAGCCTATCAACATAACACACTTTTCATCACTTTGAACGAAGGTGTCCAAATGGCCAGTAAAAGTTTCACTCACTTCTCTGATTAAAAACTTTAATAAAGCATTAAATATTTGCTGGTTTAAATATTATCAATCTAAAAAATATTTTTTAAAAACTTCAGTTAACACAAGATTTACAGAGAAAGTCACTAGGTTTTGAAGGCAAGGCAGTTGGCTAAATTTTTTTTTTTAATTGAAGCACAAATTGGCAAAAATCTAGCTCTACCACTTCTTTTTGCCTGCCCTGTGAGCTAAGAATGGCTCTTACATTTTTAAATGGGGAATAAATCAAAAAGCAATAATATTTCATGATAGGAAAATCAAATTTCAGGGGCTAGGGTTGTGGCTCAGTGATAGATTGTTTATCTAGCACGTGTGAGGCACTGGGTTCTATCCTCAGCACCACATAAAAAATAAATAAATAAATGTCCAAGTACAACTAAAAAGACAAATTTCAGTGTTCATTTTCAGCCACACTCATTTATTTGCATATTGTGTTTGGCTGCTTTAATTCTGTAACTGTGCAGTAGTTAACACATGACTGTAAGGTCCACAAAGTCTAAAGTATTTACTATATGGCCCTTTACATTAAAAAAAAAAAAAATCTGCCAGCTTCTGACCTGTATCTTGTACATTTTTTAAAATTTTTTATTTTAAAATGATTTAGACTGCAAAAATAATTCACAGACTTACTGCGTACCCTCCATCTCACTTCTCCTAATATTAACACTTTACATAAGTATATTAAAATTATCTAAGCAAAAAACTTAATATTGATTAAAACCTACTAACTATAGACTTTTTCGGGGGGGGGTGGTACCTGGTATTAAACTCGGGTGCATTACCACTGTTACTGCTGAGCTATTTATTTTTATTATTTATTTATTTTTGGTATGAGGGATTGAATCCAGGGGCACTGAACCACTGAGCCACATCTCCAGCCATTTTTAAGTATTTTATTTAGAGACAGGGTCTCACTGAGTTGCTTAGGGCCTCCCAAGTTGCTTAGGCTGGCTTTGAACTCACAATCCTCCTGCCCCAGCCTCCTGAGTCACTTGGATTACAGGTGGGCACCACCATGGCTTTATTTTTTATTTTCAGATAAGTTCTCACTAAATTTGCCTCAATCTTGAAATCCTCTGCCTCAGTCTCCCAAGTTGCAGGTGCCTGGCTCTAATCTATACATTTTATTAAAATTTTGTCATTTGTCCAATTCTTTTTCTGTCCCAGGATCCAATCTGAGCTCTTGGATAACATTGAGTTATCAAGTCTCCAGTCTGGGGCAATTCCTCAGTCTGTCCTTCAAGACTGTAAACTTTTAAATAAGACTGGTCTAATATTTTGTAGAATGTCTTTCAAACTTTTTTTTATATGTAATGCACATACCAGAAAATTCACCACTTTAAAGTGTGTAATTTAGTGGTTTTTAGTATATTCACAAAGTTGTACAGTCATCACCGCTATATGTAAGCAGACACTCTATTCCTCCCCTCTTCCATCTCCTGGCAACCACTAATCTCCTTTTTGTCTCTGAATTGCCTATTCTGAACATTTAATAGAAATAGAATCATACAGTATGTGGCCTTTTGTGTCTGGCATTCTCATAAGCATATTTTCAAGGTTCATCAATGTGATAGCATGTAATAGTATATCATTCCTTTTTATTACTCAGTAATATTCCACTAGGGGTATAACACAATTTGTTTATCCATAAGTTTGTTCATTAGTTTATTGACACAGATTTTTCTATCTTTTGGTAATTATGAATAATGCTGCTATGAACATTTGTGTGCAGGTTTTTGTTTGAGCGTATTTTCAGTTCTCTTAGATAAATACCTAGAAGTGAAAATTGATGGGTCATATGGCAATAACACTGTGTTTGACTTTTTGAGAAACTGCCAAGCTATTTTTTATAGTGGATGTCCTGTTTTATGTTCCTACTAATAATATATGAGAATTCCAATTTCTCTACATCCTCAACACTTGTTATTGCCCATTAAAAAAAATATATCCATCCTAGTGGGTATGAAGTGTTTTAATTTGCATTTCCCTAATGACTGATGATGTTAAATATTTTCATGTGTTTATTGGCATCTGTATATTTTATTTGAAGAAGTCTATTTAAATCCTTTGCCCATTTCTTAATTGGATTATTTGTCATTATATACAATTTCTATTATAAATAGAGTTTGCAAATCCCTTGAAGCCGCTTGAAGTAACTAACTCAGAGTGAGCTGAATGGCAGAATCTGATGCAATACTAGTAGCTCCCT